CCCTATATATCTAAAAATCAATTTCTTGTTGTCTTTTACTTGGGTTGCCATCCTCAGCTCCATGGTAGCTTTGGCCCATCTAATTGCCTCCCTACAAGCGCGAGCAGAGGAGGTATATTCGTCTTTGGTGATCTCTCCCTGTTTCCACTTTTTATGTGCTCCCCTTTTGTCCTTTAGGCTGCCCTGGATTTCTCTGGTCAGCCAAGGAAGCCTCCTGGCTCCTTTCCCCCTTTTGCCTCGCTCGGGGATCGTCTTGCTTTGTGCCCGAAGGATCGTTTCCTTAAGGCACAGCCACCCTTCTTGGGCTCCCATCTCTTCAAAACTCCTACTCTGCAGTGCGTCCTTGTCTAATCGCCTGAGTTCATTGAAATCAGCTTTCCTAAAGTCTAGCACTTTCACCCTACTAGTTACCTTACCCACTCGACGTCTGATGTTGAATTCTATTATTAGGTGATCACTGTCCCCCAGATGGCTACCAATCTGTAGGTCCCCTACCATGTCATCCCCCGTTGCCAATACCAGATCCAGTATGGATCATGTACCTCCTGTGTCAGGTGGAGGTCCTGTACACAGGTTAGAAACCTGCGTGAGCGGTGGGACTTTGCTGTCTGTGACTCCCAGCAGATGTCCAGGTAATTTAGGTCCCCCATGACTACCGCCTCTTTAGCTTTTATGGTCTCCGAGAGTTGCCTCAGGAGCCCCAAATCTCTTTCTTCCCCTTGATGTGGGGGTCTGTAGCAGACCCCTACCACCAAATCCCTTTCTCCTTGCCCCCCATGTAGCCTAACCCACAATCCTTCTACTTCCTCATCCTTGGATTCAGTCTTGATGAGGGTCGATGTATATTGCTCCTTGACATAGAGCGCAACCCCTCCCCCTTTCTTCCCCACCCTGTCCTTTCTGAACTAAAGCTCACTGCTGCTATTTTTAAGCACAGGAACTCGAATACATACAACACAGGAGGCTGTTAGAATGCTGCAATTGCCACAGTCCAGCAGACTTGATTAATTGAGTCTGCTCCGATATGCTGGAAATCCAGAATGTCAGAGCAGCCTCCACGCTCATGTATACGTGCCCTAAGATTCTAAATATTATTTCAAGGTCAAACTCAAAACACAATAGGATTTTGTTAGGTAATAATTAATGCCCTAAAGAAATAACAACATTTAAAGTTTTATTTAAACACTGTGAAACTAATCAACAACAAATTTTACTGATTTTTCTACAAAGCATTTGCCGGAAAACAACTGAGTATATAGTGTGGAACTTCCAAACAGAAGTATGAAAAGTTTAGCTAGATTTTATCATCAGAGTAACATCGGAAGATGTCCTGAAAACATTACTGTTAGAATACTGTTGGCATTAAAATGAGACAGACAGTTTAAAAAGGGATGAAATAAGATGCACATATACAACATGTTCAGATTTAGTGCCTTGGTGGCTGATACAATTCGCATGTGTTACTCTTATTACACTAGTTCAAAGTCTGCTGCCAATGAATAACAGTTTGGGGGAGGGGGCAGGGGGAGCTAGGAAAAAGCCAAGTTTTTCAGACATAACTAGTGATTCTAGCCATCTCAACTTCAAGATGAACAAATCCAGACTTTGTGAAAATTAGTAGCGAAATACTGGCTTTTGTGGGACTTGGATTTCCTTTAAGGATTCTCAAACTGGACACCTAAAAACCATATTCGCTTCTGAATATCCTAGCCATGCAGATTTCCATATATAGAGTTAGACTATACACGTAATCTAACTCAGGGGTGGGGGCATTTTAAATAGAGCAGGTCTCGTTCCATGATCTTTAGTTAAGGCTCCCCTACCACCAGTGGAAACAGTACACTATACACAAGATGGTACAGCACACTGGAGCATTCTAATTACAACACTCCAGCAGACTTGATTAGGTGAGTCTGCTCTGACATGTTAATAAGAACTCGTTGGAGCACATGTATAGGTACCAGGCATATGCAAAACAGGCCCTATTTGATTCGGATTTGGCCCAAATCAGGGACAGTGTTTTGATGCATTGATTCAGATCACTGTCCCCAGTTTGATTTGACTGAATCTGAACATTTGATGCTGATGCGGAGAATCAGCAATTCGGCCATAGAAACAGCTTTAAATGTTTTTTCTACATACCTCAAGGTAGCAGGTGCAGCTTGTGAATGCTGTGATGCTGGGGTGGAAGGAGAATCCCAAAGGAGCACGGGGGCGGGGGGCAGGGGGGCCTCCCACGTACTTGGTAGCAAACCCGGAAGTGGACTGGAACTACTTCTGGTCCACTTCTATCCACTTCCAGGTCCACCGGGGAGTGCACTGGGGGGGGGCCCTGCGCCCCCCCAGCTCAGCGATTGGCCACAGGAGGACCCCAGGTGCCCCCCCATACCCAGGAGGCACCAGTCGCTGAGCTGGTGGGGCCCAGGGGGGCACCCCAGTGTGCTACCGGGCAGACCTGGAATAGCCCTAATAGAAACCCTTTGTTCAGGTGGCTCTGTACACAGCCCCTGCAGTGCCCTGTGCCTCACTCTTCAGAGGACTTTAAAACCACCTTGTGAAGTAGTTATTCTTTATAGGCCTGATCCTAAGAAATTATTAAAATGGCAAAAGCTGTGAGCAACCTTTCAGGATCAGGCCCCATCTTTTTTTCCTTCTTATGTCCAGGAAAGGAATTTCCAAACCCACAGTATAATTTTCAAGAGAAATAAGGAATCATATAAGCAGAGTATAAGCCAAAAAAAATGCTTACTTACCACTTCACAGATCATTTTCTTACCTGCAAAGTTGCTGATGACAGTGCTGCTTCAAATCAAGAGCTGGGTACTTAAGTTGCTGAATAATGAGGTGCTCAACTGAAATCTTCCATCTGCAAATAAGTGCATAAGATCTTTTACTTATCCTCTTTAGTCCAAAAGGTTTAACCTGGTATAAGAGGTGAATCATTGTCTACTGGACCCCGTGTCCTCTGAAATCCACAACCGAGTTAGGGCTTGCTTTCCCATTTTTGGCAGACAAATGGAATTTAATCTCAGACATCCAAACAAATAATTTCATTGAAGTTTATATAAATTATCTTAAAGAATTAAATTCACTTTCATTTAATGTTATCAAAGCTACTTTTATCTCATGGGATTATATTATAAATATCAATATTACATGCAATATTATATTTCAAATCTGTTTAATGTCACACAAAAATTAATATACATTTGCAACCAGTGGAATAAAGCCATGGACATTTTATTGTACAATACACTTGGGCTCCTCATCATCTAGTAGCATGGCCATTTGTATATTGTTTGAATTAGCTTGAATTGGATGATGTAGTCCAACATTGAGCAACTCTCGTAATCCATCGAGCAGATGGCAGTGATACACATACACAAAGTACTATGTTCATGTAAAGTTACACATTACACTTAGGGCAATTAAAATGAACGGCAATTACAACTGCATGTTAAAGCTCATTAACTCATATCAAGTGCCATCTGAGCCTCTCAAAGTAACACCACTTCAGCAAGGGTTAACTCTGGGCCTTGCAAGCTAGCTCATGTTAAGGTAATTCCATTCTGCTCCAGAAAAGATAAAAGAATCAACTTGCAATCTTCCAGCATCCCAGGATGCAGTGCTTCCAGTAAAACTTCACCCCCCACCCCCGCAACCACAGAAGGGATGGAGCCAGGTGTGCAGGCTCCTAGCAACACCCCTGCTAACCAACTCCCTAGTGGCAAGTCAGAACTATGCAGGCAAGAAATGGTACTGACCCTTAATGTGCAAACTCTCACAGTGAGCACATCTACACATGCAAATAATCCAGGATTAATAACACAGCAAGGACTAAAAAAGCAGTGGGAAGAAGAGTATGAACTGACAAGCAGCTGGGGTGCAGTTAAACTGGAAGTGGCTAGGCAAAGAAATACTAGAAAGGGGAAGGAGTGTAAAGGGTAGGGAAAAGGAACAGAGGAAGACTGAGATTGGTTTCTTACCCAATGGCAACCTCTCATAGCCATGTTGGGAATTGTATTAAGCCTGCCCAGTTACCCCTCCAATTCAGCAATCATTATTTTCCATCTGGTAGTATGCTCTTCACTCCAAGAACCTAACCATCTTTCCCCTCATGAGGTAGCGATCTCCACTGGGGACTGATAGGGGGAACCAGACCCAGCCACTCCTCTGCATTTCAGCTCAAGATCCTGCACAAAGCAGCTGAAGCTAGTTTTAAATTCAGTCAGTTACTGCTTCCCACGTTGCTCCTCCTGAAGATGTTTTCTCTCTCCCACAGCTGGTGCTCCTTTTCCAAGTTCACTAAATGGCTTCCAAGAAGCCAGTTCCTATGGCAACCTCTCTGCAGGGCCCATCAGTCTTTTATAATCTAAACCTCATGCCCTCTTCTGTATAGGTGGGTCCTAATGAAGACAGTTTCTCTTCCTTCCTCATTACCAGTTCCTGAGCTCTGGTCATCACAACCCAGGCCAGATCGTCCTTCTTCCCAATAGCCTTTTAAAAGTCCATATACTACCTAGCTTGCTAATATTCTGGCTCCCCATAATGGCAGCTTATTTGTCTTCTTTCCCAATTTTTTCCCAAACTTCTAGGCTTTTCCCACTTAAGTCCAGAACACTCCACATGTTACAGGAAGCAGAGCTAATTGAATAAGGCTGCCAAGTTCCCTCCCTCCCATTAAAAGGAAAGATTTCTCATTAATCAATGGAAGGAAGTATTAATTCATGGAAACAGAGGAATGAGAAACCAGAAGAGGAAACTGGGACTGGCTGGGAAAGGAGGGGACAAAGAGACTCAAATTGAGATGAAAAGACTCAAAGAACGGCCTGGTCCAAAAGACTAGAACTAATTGCAGGAACTGAAGTCAATGTCACATTTAGGTTTCAGAATGTGAACCCAAAGAAAGAAATAAGAACTGGATGAGCAGCAAGACTGGGATTAGGATGAGAAGCCTGAGATGGGGATGACAAGCCAGAAGAGGAGAGAATGGGACTGGATAGGAAAGGAGAATATGATTGGGACAGAAAGCCAGATGTGAAGGAGAGAAAAGGCTGGGACTTGAACAGGTGGGAGTAAATGAGGCAGGAGGAGTCAACATTGGGTGAAACAGGTCCTAAATACAGACACTCCTCTCTGGAATCTGCAGTGGAAGCCACCATTCCTGCACTGTCAGCATATTTCTGTGACACATACCTGTGTGTCTCCTCCTCTTCTGCTGCTGGTCTACATGACAACCTCTTATTCCTATCATTTAGCTCTGGTGATATTTTTGTAGTGAACATAAAGCATTTGCATTTAGTTGGACCAGAAATGAAATAGTTTGGAGGGTTTTTCATACTCTTTTCAAATTAAAAATTTAAGCCAATTTTAAAATAAACATCAATTTTACAGGAAATCAAATTGTTTCTTATTTTAAAAAATCTTGAAATATTTTGACTTTTTCAGTTGTAATTTTTTTTTTTTTTTTGCCAAAATGATTTGCCAGTTTGGCACAAATTTGTAAATATTTCAGTATTCGAAAACCTGCATACTGCAGGTGAATAATATTCATCCAAAAATTGTCATGTAATTCTAGCTTCAAGCCTACTCATTGGTATATTGGTATAAATATGATGCTACATGGTGAAATTTCTCTTTTTTCTCTTTGCTTTGTTAAACACCAATAATCATATTAAAAGAAGGCTCTCAAGATCACCATCAAATTTCTAGAAATTAAGGTTCCCTACATACCTTATTTTGGCCCTTTGTGAGTATTCATTTTAGTTAGAGCTGGTCCAAACTTGTCAGGAGATTTTCTACTCTCAGAAAATTTTAGCATTTTAAATTTTAAATATTTTTTTATTCCAAATGGAAATTAGTCAAATATTCCAGATGATTTTAGTTTGAAATTAATGTTATTTTTATTTTATTTTAAATTATTCATGACATTAGCAGTACTACATAATATATCATGCCAAGGCATGTCATAGTATGACACAGCATGTCATGTTATATTATGACATAATGAATAGTCAAAATAGTCTCCTGTTTTCTTTTTTAAGTATTTTTAAATGCGTACAGATTGTAGTACCTTATTTTCTAAATTCAATTGTCTCTTGCTTTTGTTGTAAAGGAACAGTTTGACAGTTAAAAAACCCCAGAATAGAATATTTTAATTAGAATATTTTAATCTTTTAATTATTTATGTCATAATGTGAGATGTCATTCTACTAAGTATTGACATGTGTCATTGAATTATTTGAAAATAAAGTTTTAAATGATTTGTTTAGCATCTCACAGTAATGCCAAGGCAGGAATAGAATCTGGTTTCTACATAGCTGACTGCTATCTTAACCAAGAAACCTCCCTCTATTTTCTTTCAATCCATTGCCTTTTTTCCTTAAGAAAGCAAGATATTAAGAAGATTTCTGCATTCTAATTGTTGTGCTACAGGAGATAATTAAAGGATGATTACAGGAGGTAATCCCTCATATTTATAGCATGATGCTTGATCCAGCTGATCAGCTGAAGGAAACTCAGACTGATGGGACATTGGGGTTGGATAAGTGAAGAAGGATTGCTGTTGCACATCTTGCAGGAACTGATGCCAGGTGCCAGAGAGTGGGGATAGGGGGAAGGGCCCAAAACAAGTGTAGTTTGATAATATAACTGAATAGGCAGGATGTGGTATGGTACTCTCCTCAAGGCTGTGTGAAGACTGAAAAATTTGGAGAACAATACTGATATATAGGCAGTCCTCGTACTTATGACACAATTGGTTCCTGAAAGCGTGTCTTAAGTTGAAATGTTGTAACTCAGAACCAATTTTCCCATAGGAAATAATGTTATAAATGGGGGATTGGTTCCTGAACCAAGCCCTAATACCTTATTTTCACCAAAAATAACCCAGAATTTTGTACTCAATCAATTACAAATAAGTAATATAGCTACATTGATGTATTATATTGCAAATAGCAATCATATTGATTCAGAAGGACTTCTTTGTGATAACTTCGCTGGACTTTTTGAAGAGCTGTTTGTTGGACTTTTTAAACGGTTCTTAGCTGGAGTCTTCTCAGGAGTCTTTGCTGCAGGTTTTCCTGGAGTCTTGCCTGCTTTCTTAAAAAAGCGTTCAAGAAGTTTGGAAAGATGTTCTCCAGGGAGATAGGTGACACAGCAAACTTGTTCACTGGCATAGTGTCGCATCTGATCAAGCGTCATGAAGTCAAAACTGACGTCAGAAAGTTGAAACAAGGTGTCAATTTATAAACGTTGAAACATTGTAACTCAAAACGTTGTAAGTCGAGGACTGCCTGTATAGTTTCTATGGGTTTAATTTACTACTCATTCTGACGTGATTCTTGGGTCTTTGCACTCTAAAGGAGGCATGGAGAAGAGGAGGGAATCCACTATCTTACTCATCACATAACTTCCCAATTCTGCAACAAAGGAAGTAGAGTCCTACAGCCAAACAAATGAGGTACGGACCTACAGCCAGCAATCTTGTCTATTACAGACCCTTGATTCATCCCAACAGAAGATCCATCCCATACACAGAATGAGACAGAAGCCCCGTAGAAAAATCGTATTTGATCAGGTAATTAAAGACTGCATCATAATACATTTGCATGATAACTTGGGATTCTGGCATTTCCTAGCAATGGAGTGCTTGACTCAATTACTGTCTTTTAATAAAGTTTGTGTGTAATAGATACTTAGACAACAAAGCATCCTAATTATAAGTACTGAAAAAAAAATTTGCTTGTTGCTTTCTGTATGTTCTTACGTTTATAGAGAACTGTATGAGGAGTGCACTTTAAATCCACTATGCAAGGGGAGTCACATATGCACTCAGAGGTAGTTCCTGATAAATTATAAAATTTCTGATCACCCTTTGAGCTGCAAATATTGTGGTGATAGGAATTACCTTGTAAATTCACAATATATACTTATGCATTGCTATACTCGTACAAGGGCTTGGAATACAATCCTTGTTGGTTAGAAGGCATAATGGAGACATTACAAATGAGGAAAGAAAGCAGCTACTATGCAATACTGACTATGTAAACACATTTTTGATGGATTTAGCTCTATAGTTTATAAACCTTGAGACTAAACACACAGTGCAATTAGGAGACTGAAATGCTTTAAGTACTAAATCCCTTGTGAATTATGATGTTAAATATGGAAACCAGCACTCCACCCAGAACAAATAAATATTGCATTTTAATATGTCAAAACACCAGGTTTTCCTATTAATCTGTATTTGTCTAAACGGTAGTGTGAAGTTATTTCTTTCCCCTGTGCCTTGAAAGACAGTGTGTTTAGTAAACTGACAAACAGCACAAGCCTGGGTAGATGAAGCTCCAGATTCCACTCTTGACTCTGACACTGACTTTCAGTGTTATTCTGGACGAATCACTTAACCTGCCTCAGACAAGGACCCAGACAAATTGCAAAACATACTTAACAAAACCTCTACCTAACCAAGCAAGCAAAGGCAAAGGTCTGCCTGAACTGAATGGCCTATTGGGATAGCGTGGTTAAGGCACAGTGGTTTCTTTAGGCAATGAACTACAAGAGTGTGGTATGGTGAGTATCATATCCTTTGACTCCCAAGCCTGAACAGCCATTTACAGCTGGCTCAACAGAGCCTTCATTATGAACCCAAAATCAAGGCTCAATCTCAGGCCTCTGGAGCTGTAATAAAATGCCTTTGCCACCCTACCATCCCACCTTATCAACTAAGAGGAAAAAGAATAAATTTAAATCAAGCACGACACTGCTGTTTCATGACACTTTAGACCAGGGGGTAGCAATCTATAGGTCTCGTGACAAGGTAATTTTGGGTGGCTCCTCAAGCTCTTAACCCCTGGATTGTCCACACATTAATACCTTAAAGTGGTCTTAAGCACTTGTTATGTGATTCAAAGTTATGCCACTCCAGGGCAGGATTATCTCTAATCCACACTACACAGCTCCTCTTCCATTAAGGTGTAGCCACTCCCCACAGATGTGCTACCCAAGTTGAAGTCTTCCAGTATCCCAGGATCTCTCACACCCCTGCCTGTACAGCAGGGAGAGAAGCCTGTCCTGGCTCACCAGCCCTCTAGTGGCAACTCAACTACAGCTCTGTCTTGTCCTTGC